GGAGGGAGGGAGGGAGGGAGGGAGGGAGGGAGAAAGAAGGAAGAAGCCCACCTATGGCCAGACTTCATCCTTCCTAGTCCTGCCTCAGGCCAGGGTCTGCTAGGCACCTGGGCAGCAGGCACCCTCTACACCTTGAGATGTGCAAATCCCCGCCTCCATCTACCCCCCAAACCCAGACAGGGACCACAAGGCTCAGGTGGCAGCCAGTCAGGCAGCAGGGTCATCCACCAGTAGCAAGCATATCTTAGAGGATGGAGTCCGGGGAAAAAGGCAGAAGAGAAGCCAGGACAACCCCTGGAGAAAAACAGTTATGTGACTCCTCATACGTGGAAACCTTGAGGAGCTCGCTCGGCTGAGGGTACAAGAAGAAGATGCTACCTGAGCCGAGGCAAAGGCTTTGTGGACACTGGGGAGAAGATTAGGAGCCAACGGCTGCTCAGGACAAGGGAGCTGCCACCACAGGTGCCCAGAACACAGGTTCACGTGACACACCCAACCGCTCAGGCGAATGTGCCTAGGGAGGCCAAGAACTGAATTCTGGATATTCTGTGAAGAGTCTAACCTCATGGAGAATTTATTCCAGGAGCCAAAAGAAAATTTCCAAAAGCTGTTGGAATAAAGAAAGAATGTTTTAAAAATCGGTATTTAAAAATAAAAACAAGCCGGGCTCAGTGGCTCAGTCTGTAATCCTGTGCCTTTGGGAGGCTGAGGTGAGTGGACTGCCTGAGACCACAGGTTCGAGACCTGCCTGGGCAGCGAGACCTCATCTCTACAATCAATCAAAAAATTAGCTGGGCATGGTAGCGCATGCCTGTAATTCCGGCTACTTGGAAGGCTGAGGCGGAAGGATCGCCGGAGCCCAGCAGGTCGAGGCTGCGGTGGCCAGGAGTGGCCACTGCACTCCAGTCTGGGCGACAGAGTGAGACTCCAACTCAAAAAATAAATAAATAAAAATAAAGACAACAGGCTTTGCAGACGCCGCCGCCTTGAGCCCTTTCCCATCAGCCATGGTCAACCCCACCGTGTTCTTCGACATCACCATCAACGGCGAGCCCCTTGGGTCGCGTCTCCTTCGAGCTGTTTGTAGACAAAGTTCCAAAGACAACAGAAAACTATCATGCTCTGAGCACTGGAGAGAAAGGATTCGGTTATAAGGGTTTCTGCTTTCACAGAATTATTCCAAGGTTTATGTGCCAGGGTGGTGACTTCACACGCCATAATGGTACTGGCGGCAAGTCCATCTATGGGGAGAAAGTTGATGATGAGAACTTCATCTTGAAGCATACAGGTCCTGGCATCTTGTCCATGGCAAATGCTGGACCCAACACAAATGGTTCCCAGTTTTTCATCTGCCCTACTAAGGCTGAATGGTTGGATGGCAAGCATGCGGTTTTTGGCAAGGTGAAAGAGGTCATGAATGTTGTGCAAGCCGTGGAGGGTTTTGGGTCCAAGAATGGCAAGACCAGCAAGAAGATCTCCATTGCTGACTGTGGACAACTCTAATACATTTGACTTGTTTAAAAAAAAAAAAATTCAGACAACTATATGAAAAAAATGGACCAAGACCAAGAACAAGAAGATGGAGACAGTGGAACAGCAGAAGACTGAAACAGAGCTGGAAGGACTGAGAAACTCCGGGACAGGGAAAAGTACTGAAAGGCAAAAGCAGGTCCGAAATGAGGGCTGTGAAAGAAAAAGCAGAAAGCAAAGCCAAGACATGACTCATTCGTGCTTCTCAACCAGACTTAAACACAAAAGGAGCAATGAAGCCAGTTGTGCTGTATGATTCCATTTATATAAACGTTCAGAGGAGGCAAATCCACAGAGACAGAAAGTACATTAATGGTTGCCTGGGGCTGGGGAAGGAATGGGCGTTACTATTCATGGATTTGGGAATTCTGTGTGGAATGCAAAAAACACTCAAAAATTATACTGTAGTGATAGCCACACAGCTTTTTGAATACCTGTATACTAAAAACCACTGCAATTGTATACTATAAGATGGTAACTATCATGGTACATAAAATACACCTCAATAAAAGATTTTTTTAAAAAGGATAAATGGAACAGGCTTAAAGACATAATTTCAAAGACACAGAATAAAAAATAACCATTCTGAGATTAAGAAAAATATGATCAAAAAAATTACAAAAGCTCACCAGGTTCACATAAAATCACACAGGAGAAATCTATACTTAGACACAGGCTGACAAAATAATTTAACCACAAGGCTGG